CGGGGACTCTTGCTGTCCTTCGGGAAGGCCTCGTGCACGCCCACCAGCAGCCGGGATTCCACTCAGCAGGGTCTGGATTCCACGGAGCCTGGCACGAGGGCCACGGTGAGCCCGGCGGCGGGAGGGATCCCGCCTGGGTGCCGGTCCCAGTCCCCTGCGCGTCCAGTCCCTTGTCTGTGCACCGCGTGCGCTGTGTCAGGAAGGGGCAGAGCTCGCCTTCTGGGCATGGAAGTCCCTCCCTCTGGCTTCCTCTCCGGGGCAGGCCAGTCAGGAGGGGTGAGGACTGGAGAGCCTCCCGCCCCCACCTGACCTCAGAGGGGAGGTTCCTCTCCAGCAGACTCCTTCCTCTTCTCTTGCAGAGCGTGGCTGTCACTTGCAGTCAGTGCTGCTGACAGGATGGCTTGTAGGAGGAGGTTTTTGGTCTCTAGATCCCTGGCCATAGGGTTGCCCAGAATCAATTACAGTTATTACTTCTCTAAACTCTGAAAACTCTTCTGACAGCGCTGAGTGCAATCTTCATGATGTATATTTGGAACAGAAGAGAGATTTTCAATGACAAGCAAACCAACTCAGTTCTTCTTCTTATTTTTTTTTTTAAGACTATTTGCTCTGGGCTCATTGCCTTCTGCTGGCTTCATTACATCAATCTGGGGATGACGGTGAAGGGCAAGTGTACGTTTCTTGGGAGGAAGTGTTTTATTCTGCTGTCCAACAGAGGCCTCCTGCGTTCTTAGCGGGACTGAGGCCCACCCTTCAGGCTTTCTGCTCCAGGACAGGAGGGTGAAGGTGAGTGGGGCGGGCAGTGAGACAGGTGGACAGAGGGCACACAGAAGTGGTCTGGCAGCCACAAAGATGGGAAGGGAGGGGGACACGAGGAGGTGGGGAAGCCGAGGCAGGAGGCCTGGGTGGGGCAGGGGTGGAGCTGGCACCCTGGGAGCGAGCAGGTGACCCAGAGGAAGAGGAGGGGGACAGGGAAAGGCCAGAGAGGACAGAATGGAGGAGGGCAGGGGAGGCCTTGGGGAGGAGGGAGCTCACCTGTGACCTGCAGCGTCTCAGCGAGGTCCTGACTCTGGGAGACCAGCGTGTCCCGGGGCTCGAAGGCTCTTCCCTGGTTGTCCACGAAGGGTTCCCAGCAGTGCTCAAACTCTGCAGTGGGGCGGGGCGGGGCAGGAGGAGAGCCGGGCCACAGGGGTGGCCACAGGGTGTCTGACTCTCGGGGACAGGCTTTGCCCTTCATAACGGCGCCGCTGCCCTCTGTCCTCCGGGCGACTCCTTAACCCCCGGGACTCTTTCTTCAGCCTGCAGTCTCGGCCAGCCGGATTCCCCTCCTCTCGGGACACCCCACCCACGTCTCTCTTGCACGTCCGCTATTCTCCGGCCCGTTCCAGACTCCTCTCCTGCCCCCAACTCTCTCTTCCAGCACGCTCCGCTGTCCCCTGCCGTCCCAGGTCAGCCTGGCCTGTGCAGCCACCAGAGGCTTCCGCCAGGGATTCCACTCCTGCCCACGCCTTCGTAGCCAGTCCCCCCAGGCCTCTCCCTGCCCACCGCCCACCCCGGGAGCTCCACACGGACCGGTGGAGGTCATGATGGCGATGCGGGCCCCGGCCCCCCACAGGAGGCGCAACCCATTCTGAAATCCTTCCTCGGTATAGAGGTGGGAGGCGAAGGGGTGTGGGGTCACGTGTCTGTTCTCCAGGACAGAAAGCAGCTCCCAGGCCTGGATCCGCTGCAGCCGGCACAACCCCGCGGGGCAGTCCGGCTGACCTCCCCGGGGCAGGCCGAGCATAGAGGAGGCAGGAAAGGGTTGTGTCATTTGCTGTGAACGCGGGGGAGGAGGGGACCAGCGTGAGGAGGCCGAGGTCCTGGCCTCCAGCACAGAATTAGAGGAGGGCCCCCCTCAGCAGGCAGAGGGCGCAGGGTTTCAGGCAGCATCCAGCGCCCCCAGCGCCCCCAGCCCTCCAGGACCAGCACAGGACGGGGCGTTTGTCCAGCGCCCGGACCCGGGGAGGACTTGGCATCCTGCCCCGCTCACTGTGGTCTGTGCCACTCTGTCCCCGATAGGTCTTCATTTAAATTGTTGCCATTTCACGCATCGTGGGATTGGCATGAAGTTTGGCTTTTAAGCTATTGCATTCAAATGGGATTCAACTTGACTACTGAGTTTCTGGAGCCCCGCCAGGTCTGCGCCCAAAGGAGGGGGCTTCTGGATGCTCACCTAGTGGGGAGGGAGGAGGCCGGGTGGGCTTCAAGGTCACTGGCCTGATGCCAGGGAAGTGAGTGCATCCTCCAGGGAGGGATCCACCCCCCCCAACCCCACTCCCACCTGTGGGATACAAAAGGGCTCCCTGTGCAGTGACAAGGGGGGAGGGGCGCCAAGGAGAGAGGCCCCCAGGGTCCATGGGATGAATGTCACTGTGGGGGCTCCTAGGACTGTGGAGATTGGTCCAACCTGTTGAGGGAAGGATTATCAACCAGGAACAGGGGGCGACTCAGGTCGGGAGTGCAAGTGCAGATTCTGGGGAGGCGTGATGGGTACCCCAACACTGACAGGGCCTCCCCGGGCCATGCTGGCGTGGGGAACAGTGCCCTTGACGGGATCTGCAAGCAGTTGGTGGGGGTCCTACCAGAGCCCCCTGTAATGACGGGCGGGGGGGGGGATCTTTGAGAGCCAACAGGACTCGGGCTCTCTGGTGGGAGGCTGTCCCAGGCAGAGGCCTGGGGAAAAGCTGACCCCTTGTCCAGAAGCCTTTTCCTCTGTCCTCACCCTCCTTCAGAGGCACCGCAGGAGGGGAGTGGCTGAGCCCTGGGCTTCGGGTGACAGGGGCTGACGGTGCCAGACCTTGGGCCACTGTGACTGCTTTCCCATGGGTGGCCCCAAGCCAGCGACCACAGCAGGAACAGTCCCACCTGACTCCAGGCCGACGTGTAGCAGCTGCAGGGACCCCAGGTGACCGCTCTGGGGGACCCCTGTGTCCACTGGGAAACATCTCCCCTGAACGTCCCAGGATTGGGAGGCCCTGCGTGCTGTCGTCAGCCTGGGCCACTCACCTTATTGCACAGGATGTCCTTGTGTTGGCCCAGAGGGACCCCGGGGTCACCGCTGGGGAGCTCCGTCTCGTAGCAGAGGTAGGCCTTATTTGGCCACCACTCAAGGTGGAAGTTTTCCAAGAAGGTGTCCTTGTCCAGCAGGCAACTGCCAACAGGGGGGTGGGGGAGAAGCTCAAAGACCGGGGCCCCCCTGGAGGAGGGAGTGTCATCTTACTGACGTATGTTTGGAACAGAAGAGAGATTTCACATAAGACGTAAAGATGCTTACAGCTTTAGAAACCTAAACTATCTCTTCTGGGCTCATTGCCATTTGCTGGTTTCTTTGGATCCCTTACCTCACACCCCTGACCCCTGCACCCCACATACCGGCCAGACCCACAGAGGACAGGCTTCCACTCGCTTTGCTGGAGCCACCCATCCTCCCTCTGGGACCCCTTGTGGGGGCTCCAGGGGGGCCAGCCCACTCTGCTCACAGGTGCCCCCCCCACCCCCCGAGCAGCATGGAACACTCAGACCCTCAGATGGGGCCTCTCTGTCTGTTCGGGTAGGCTCCCATCCCACCTCCTGGCCTCGGTGTCCCATCCCTGTCCCCGCTGACCCACTCCCCTGGGGCCTTTCCCCCTAGACTTCAAGGGTAAGTAACCATTGCCACATAGTACACCGAGGCCCTACACATGCCTGTGCCGAGAAAGAGAATACCAGAGACCATTTTTCTTAAACAATCATGGGAATTTCTGTGTTACAAAAATAATGCGTGCCCTTTGCAAAACCGAAATCGTAAAGCCAAAAGAGACTTCCTGGCCCACAGCTCCGAAGGGATTCCCTAGCAGCACGGATGGATTCCCTGGGGGGGGGGGGGGCGGAGGAAGCTAAGGAGTGTTGGGGATGAGTCCCCGGGAGCCTGGGGAGGCCGGCCGGACAAGCAGACTGGGCATCAGCCCCAGGGGCACAGTGGGCCCAGGACGGGCCAGCAGGAGAGAGGCAGGGAGAGGAGGAGCCCTCAGAGGCCCGGGAGGAGACCTTGAGGGAGTGGCGGGTCCCCATCAGCCCGGAGCAGGGGCTCAGGAGCAGGGGCCATGCAGGGGGCTGGGGTTACCTGTCCCAGGCCCGGGCGCCAGCCTCCATGTCAGTCCCTTCACCGTCTCCGGCTCTCTGTCCGCTGCTTCTCTGCCTGGTCACGGTCTATGCCCTCCCCTCGGGGTGCCCTGTAAGGACCTGGGAGCCTTATATGCCATCAGAGCTCCTGGAAGCTGCTGAGTTGGCATCGATGGGCCCCACCCCTTCCTAGACTCAGGCCGCTCATGCCACCCTCACAGGCATCAACGTGGGAAGAACTTCTCTGCCAACTGCCATATCCCTAAGT